CGCGCACATCTCGTCACTACCTCCCTCCCCTCCCCTCCCCTCCCCTCCCTCCTTGCCCCCCTCCCTAACTTTTCTGACCTCTGGATTTCCCTCCATAGGGAGATGAACTAGCTCTGGAAAGCGAGCGTTTCTGCGCGGCTTGCTCTCGCCCTCTGTTGCGAAGCAATCAGCACAGGGACCAAGAGGGGCAGCAAGAGGAGAGATGGGGAGAACGAGAGGTCAGGGGGGAGAGCAAGCGAGAGTTCAAGATGACCTTTGACTGGAGCATCGGCGACCTCTGCTGTCAGCTGAGGAATTTCTTCGTCCTCCCTGGCGCCGAAGCATGCTGCTCCCATGACGTCACGTGTTCGAACCGGCGGGGCCACCTCACCTAAGAGTCCTCTTCCTCCTCTTCCTCCTCGCAAGCTGAGGAGGCCCAGAGGCCTGCGAGGAAGCAAGACGGGTCGACGAGACTCAGGGAGGAAGGAGCGGTCGGCACTGGAGAGCGAGGACGCAGCGAGAGCGAGGAGCAGACAAGCCCTGCCACACGGACGGCACAAGGCAGAGATGTCCAAGTACGGCATAATGTCCGATCACGTCCACCGACGAGAAGGCAAGGCAACCTGCAACAACGGAAATGAGAACGAACCATGGCCAACAACCGGGCCTCGCAATCCAAACAGGCAGAGAGCTCTCTCAATACAGGCAGAGAGCTCTCTTTCCCTGGCTTTTCTCCTCACAACAGGAGGACAGAAGTAGCTGAGGTAAATCAACCCGAGGGGAGGGGAAGAGATAGGAGGAGGAGGAAAGGAGTATAGTAGGTAAACATTTGTGTTGCACCATTCTTGAGTGCAAGAGAGGAAGCCGCAAGGGCGGTGAGCGATCTTCGATCTCGTGGCAACGAGGACGAGGATAACACGGACTACAAGCAGGAGGAGGAGGAAGGAGGTCAGGGAGGAGATGGTGATGTTGATGGTGGCAGAGCATAGCAGAGTTGAGTCGTCAAGCCATAAGAGAGGATGTGACGGTCTGCTGTGGTAGGGTAGGGTAGTTACCCCTACCCTACCTGTAAAGCAGTATGACAAACAGCACCCCTGCCTGTTCCGAACTATTACACAGCGAAGAAAAGGTACGAAAACCGATGTACCCGTAGTCAATAGATGGTAATCTAATCATGGGGTAGGGTGGTCCTTTAAACCACTGAGCCGGCCGGCCCGCCGGGCTCGAAACCGTCTCAGCCTGACTCTCAGTGACCGTGGGGCCCGGCCCGGGCCCTCGGCCGGCAGTCCTGGTGGCCGGGTGACTGTCAGGCGAGGTCACCCGAGTCAGCCTGTCACGTGACAGGTGAGGATGTCGCCGTGCCTACAAAGGTGAACGGTCACGGCGTGGGCCGGAAGCTTTGAATGTTCTGTTCAGCATCAATCATGATTTGATTTTTGTGAGCAGGATTTCAGTTTGTGTCTCGTATTGCTCCCCGACTTGAGGCAAATCACGAGGCTCTACTACTACTGAGTCCACTGATACTACCCCACCATACGAGTTGAAACCACCCACCCCTGCAAGGGACTCCGACTCCGACACGACATAAGATAGGAGTACCCCATGGGATGAGACTGGTTCGCTGTAAATCCACCCCCTCTTTGCTCGTTCTTGTATGACCACCCCCTCTATCCCCACTCATTACCCCCACCTTTCACCACACCCCTGTTACACCCGAAAAAAGAATCTTACCAGGGCGCAACTGGCCCTCTATCTATTACGCCCCCCACAATATCTAGGCTATGACCCCATCATATATGCAGTCTTTCAGGGGTCTTCAAGTGAACCACCCAACCCACCCGTTCTACCACCCATCCGTGCGACTACCTATTTCACGCTAGTTTTAGTCAACTGCAAGTAGTAGTGATTTACTTCGTCGGGCGCCCTTTTACTACTCTACTTCACCTCCTCTTCCTTCACCTCCTCTTCCTTCACCTCCTCTTCCTTCATCTCCTCTTCCTTCACCTCCACTTCCTCCCTTCCTCCGCAGGCTTGCTCAGGCTTACTCAATCCCTCCTCCTCCTACTTGATCCTGCATAAAGTGTTGCCCATTCGAGGATTTCTGCTCAAAATAGCTCGTCCACCTTGATAAGTGCTGTAACAACTATCTCTGACAGTAATTCTATTGTGATCATATTTTCATCGTCAACATCTTTCTCTATTTCGAATTGTATCGGCTAGTCATGTCTTCTGCCGGGCTTCAAGTCGCTCAAGTCTTTCCGCGTGGTCGGGGTCCTCGTCGCCCTGTGCGTGTGGACATGGGGCTGATCGTGGGTCTCTTCAGCAAGAGGCAGGCAGACGCTGCCAGGCATCTGGGGCTCTCGCTCACAGCCTTCAAGAGCGCATGCCGCAAGCTTGGTGTGGTGAGATGGCCTTACTCCAGGCAGAGGTTCCACAACCCCCAAGACAAGGAAATCGCCTTGTGCGAGCCAGCAGACGATGCTGTCCCAGCGAGCGACCCCACGAGAGACTCAAGTGACGACATACAACCAGCACAAGATGCTTGGGGCTGTGCGCCATGCTGGCAGTGGAGTGAGTTGCTAGAAGAGGCGATGGAGCATGTCGAGGGACGAGCGACGAGGTGAGCTGAAAGTAATGTTCGAGCTCCAAGACCAGCAGAGTGTCATGTAGTGTAGGATCAACGACATGTAGATAAGGTTGTTATAGACAATGTAACGGTATCTCCTGCTGTAACGGTATCTCCTCAGCCTGTGACGGGATCGCCTCAGCCTTGGTCACGTGTCCTTGTGGAGCATCTTTCCGTAGAGTTTCTTCTCGTCCCTCAAGTCCATCTCTCGCCTCATCCTGCTGCCTTTCAAGCTCTGACCTGACCCGCCTCAGCCTCTCACCTCACCAGCCCCTGCAGTCGCTTGATCGCAGCGTTGTCCGAGTGCGCCAATTGCGCCTGCCGAGGCATCAGCTAGGCTCGGGCTCTCAGCTCAGCACCTCCAGCAGCATCATCTCTGCGCGGTCATAATTCCGCAGCTCCAGCTCAGCTGCCAGCAGTGAGATGAAGGTGAGACGGCAGCATGGCTGCACCTTCTGCCAGCCGCAGATGCGCTTTGAGGTTCTTCTTCTCCCCCTCGAACTCCAGCACCCTTGCAGGTCGTCAGTGTGGCCATGGCAGTGCACGCGCTCCTCCTTCACCGCTCGCAGTCAGCGATGGTGTCTTGATATCTCTTCTCCTTGAGATGGCAGGCTGCAAGACTTTCATCCTCCCGTGTAGAGCCTCAGGCAGCACCTGCTCGGTTCAGGTGGCAGGCGACCCAGACCTGGCGAGCCTGAAGGTGGTCGGAGCTGAGGGGTGAGAAGCAGCGACAGAAGTCGTACCTCGTCCTCCTCTTCTCCGAAGCTCTTGGGGCTGGAGACCATGCTGAAGGCCTTGAGGCAGTCAGCTGGGGAATTCGCGCGACCTCAACTTACCTTGTCGTACCATATGAGGGCGGAGACGAAATCGCCGGCAGTGAACATCTCGTTGCCCTTCAACTGCAGCAGCATGAGCGACAAGAAGCAGGGCAGGCAAGACCTTCCTTCCTCGAATTGGCCACTCTCAACCTCTCCTCCGTCTGATCAGCACGAGCATCAGAAGGACGACAAGACAAGAGGAGAGAAGGCGAGAGGGTTCACTGACCCCGAGAAGGTAAGGAGGCGTGTGGTTGAGAAAGGTCATGTTGAACGTGACCGCCTTCCATCTTCCTCCTCCTCTCTCATGACATTCTCGATCTCTTCGACTCTCGCATCCGTCAGCAGATGCGGCGCGACCTTCAACTCGCACTCCTGCCCATACCGCATCCGCTGCCCTCTCACAGGCTCAACGCTCATGCACAAGCCTCTTCCTCCTCACCGTTCTGCATAACAAACTCTCTACGGCGCGAGGTATCTCACCATTTCCTCCCGCTGAGTCAGTGTGGAAGAGGGGGCAGGGGAAGCAGCACCTGCGATGAAGTCGAGGAGCTTGTCGCCGACCTTGACTGTCACTCTGCTCCCGTCAGGAATGAGGAACGTCTGCCCTTCATGCTGCCTCGTCCACTCAGAACCTTTCCCAAGTCCCCACCCACCCCTCATCTCCACACCATAACCCTCGTCTCCTCGTCTCCTCCTCCCCTACCTGCCAGTATGCGATCATGACGGCGGTTCTGTCTCCGAGGAGGTCGACGACCTTGGGGCTCGTCAACTCTTCTAGCAGGGGCCAGCAGCCTCACCGAGTGCCATCCATGCAGCGACACGTGAAACTCCTTGACCTTCCATGCCTGCCGCCCCTTCACCTCCATCCTTTCCCCAGCTTCACGACCTCAGAGTCGTCTGCTTCCAGTCAGACGCCAGTCAAGCGCCACATCACACGCATCACCGCGAAAGCGCACAAGCATCGTCATCCTGCTGCTCATCCTTTGAGTGATGACCTGCCGCGCAAGTCAGACCCTCCCACCCGCT